AATACATATAGGAGAGTAATACATATACAGGAGAGACTGTTACAGGAAACTCTTATATATAGCCAGCATCTAGATTTGACAATTAACATTTTACTGTACCTATTTTATTATTTTTTTTTATGGTGAGAAAATTTTATATTTAGAATTAGCCTGCTGGACTCAGTTTAGATGATCCCAATTTTGTTGGCAACATCCAAAGCATCATAATCAGGAGCAAGTAGAACATAGGCCTTCTTCTCTCCATCAGGCCTAATCAAGGTGTTGACCTTAGCCACACATCAGTGTCATAGAGCTTCTTTACAGCTTGTTTTATTTGGTCTTGTTGGCCTTGACATCCACAGTGAACACAAGTGTGTTGTTATCTTCTAACTTCATGGCTGACTCAGTGGTCAGGGGAAATTTGATGATGGCATAGTGGTCAAGCTTGTTTCTCCTGGAGGTGCTCTTCCAGGGGTATTTGTGCTGCCTTTGGAGTCTCAGCGTCTTAGGCCGCTGGAAGGTGGGTGACGTGTGGATGTTCTTTTTTTTTTTTGGCTGTGGACGCCCTTCAGGATGCCTTCTTGGCCTTTAATGCCTTTGCTTTGGCTTCAGTTTTGGGAGGGGCAGGGGCTTCCTTCTTCGCTTTCGGCGCCATCTTCTGTACCTATTTAATTAAATGTCTGTTCAATGTGTATTTAATAATGAGCTCACATCTTTCCTTACTTATTGATCATTTTAAAACTGCCTTTATTTTCCTTTAAAACAGTGGGATTTTTTTCATTCTACTAAGTAAAAGCTTGCTGGTCGTTAAAGAATTTAGTTTTTTATCTACTGTGAGTTGCAAATAAATTTTTTAGTTTTTTTGTCAACTACTGCTTTGTTTATTTGTTTGTTTGTTTTGACAGCACTGCTAATGTTAGGTTTATAGACAGAGTCCCTAGATGTTAGTTCATGCATGTCTGGCATTTCTCTCTTCTGACAAGTCTTTTTGACATTTATACACAAGTGTTAATGACATGTCATTACTAAGACACAGCAATATATATGTAAGAGCAACTGATTTATCACATTTTAAATATGTGATAATTACCTTATTTTTCAAACCTTAATAATGATAAGTAATATTTACTAAGACATTGTGCATGGAAGTCCTGGAGTTGAGTATTTTTTATTTTGAGTGATGCACAATGCTGAAATTTCCAGCAACTGTTTTATTTTACTTAGCTAGCTTCTGTTTCTTTCAGCAGAAAAAAGGAATAAAGTCATTAGATTGAAAACTTCTTAGAGTATATAATATACTTACCATTTCATCTGATCTCTGTAAGTAAGGGAAGGAGTTACTCCATTTCAAACAATTAGAATTCCATACTGGGAAATTAGGTTACTTAGTGAAGGTATCAGACTTGATTAATGACAGAACTAGAACCTAGTACTTCTTTCTGTATTAAATAATTAGCTTCTTTCAGATGATTTGCTATACGTGCGTTTGCAAGACCAGACTTGATTTGCACACAGAATAGATAATTGAAATATAACTCATGCTAAAAATATTTGTGACTTTTGACAAAATAACCTTAAATAGTAAGGTTTTGTTGTTTTTAATTTGTTTCTTTGTTTTGGTAGAGACAAAATAAGATACACATAAAAAAAGCTACATTTGGAAATTAATTTCAGATTACTTAGTTAAACGAAAAATTGAAGGGAATGTTTTCCCCTTGCTGTTTATAAATTGTGTATCATATTAGAGCTGTCTGGTCGAAGGCAAGAGAGCTCTAGTGGCCTTCACTGCCAGGCCAGAGGTACACAGGTCGAATCCACCAGCTGCTTTGAGGGCAGTCCCCTCCCAGAAGCAATTTACTGCCTCTGAAAAACCACTGGAGGGTAATCTCTGTGTTGGTTCCAAGTCAACCACACATAACAACAGCAACAACAGTGAAAAGAATGAACAGATACGCCAAAATATACCCTTTCTGTTTAAGAGTCTCCTTTACACTGTCAGCTCTGGGATGGGGCGCTGTCATTTTTAACACCTGGTTTCCAGGACTCCTTTAAATTCTTTCCATTTCAGTCAAGCAGAAGGAAAAAGAGCCAAGAGGGTTAGAGATGAAGACATTACTTTGACTCCCTGAAATTATAGATTGACTCACTTTCCATTAGTTAAGAGAAGAGTTATAGCCACATCTAAATGCAGAGAAGGCTAGACTGTGCGGTTCATTTTGTGTCCAGAAGAAGAATAGAAAGTGATGAACAGCAATTAGTCTATTTCTTGTACTTACTGCTTTAACATTTTCTTGAACTTAAGGGTGAAAAAAAAATCAAGGTCAGCTAATACATTCCCAGGCTATAACTTGAAATCTTCTTCCCATCTAGGAATTACGCTGTCAGAATATTTCCGTGACATGGGCTATCATGTCAGTATGATGGCTGACTCCACTTCTCGATGGGCTGAAGCCCTTAGAGAAATCTCTGGTCGCTTAGCTGAAATGCCTGCAGGTAAATCATTGTAGTTCTTACTATATAAGTAAGACTAGTATGACTTTATTGGTTGGCTTTGAACTTCACTTTTAAAATATCTTTTCGTTTTTCAGATAGTGGATATCCTGCATATCTTGGTGCTCGTCTGGCCTCGTTCTACGAGCGAGCAGGCAGAGTGAAATGTCTAGGAAATCCAGAAAGAGAAGGGAGCGTCAGCATTGTAGGAGCGTAAGCATCCGAAATCTGCTTTTCAAAAGAAAAAAGTCACTGCTATTAAAGATCCTACGTACACACACTTAGATTCTTCTGAATCCAGGGTCACCCGGGGAACTCTCTGAAGAAGCTCATATTTAATTCATGTCTGTGTATTCTGGTTCCATATATTTGACTTGATTGATTGTATTCAAGTCATAATAATTCTCCAAGAATAAATTTTTAAAATATAGACATATTTTGTTGAGATTGCCTCAGTGAAAAGTGAAGATTCATAATCAATAAATAAAAACTGTACTTAGTTCTGTATTCATTATTTTCCATAAGCATTTTTTTAAAATAAAAGTTATTATTTTAATTGTGATATTAACAAAAATTTACAGAAAAGTTAGATTTTCATTCATTCATTGTTGCACATTTTACCCCTGCATCCTCTCTTCCTCCTCCCAAAGTTGACTTTTTTTTCTACTAGTTTATTTACAAAATTCGAATGCATTGTTTTGAGAACAGATTCCATAAGCATTTTTAATGACTGCTTTTTTTTCTTAATTCAGCGTTTCTCCACCTGGTGGTGATTTTTCTGATCCAGTTACATCTGCTACTCTCGGTATTGTGCAGGTATGTCTCTGCAGCCAAGTCACCTTCTGAATCTTAGCCCTCTCCTCTCAGCTATAGTAATATTACCCAAATTGTCATGAGTACTTAACTTGATCCTTAAAATGTGATGGTAGGTAATGATAAAGTTTCTTTTTGTAACATTAAGAGCCTTTAAGACTATCTTTATTTGTTGTTTTTTACTGAGAGTTAACAATAAACTTATTTTCTAGAAATGGTTATTGTTGTTGTTGATTGACCAACTCGTAGCCACACTGTGAACAAAAGGCCTGCAGCCTTTCCATAACTATTGTTGTTTCTCCAAGTTCATAGTTTCCAGAGGCATGTTGTTTAGGAAGTGGATGCCACTCCTGCTTCCAAATCTGAATCAACCTGAGAGCTTCACCAAATACTGCCCACGATGAGTAGCCGTTATGGTGTTTGATACTAGAGCACAGTTGTTCAGCATTACAGCAACTCTTAAGATACTTCATTACAGCAAATAGACAGATCACTGTTAAACCACTTAAAGAATGTTCATCCAAAATCAACTAACATCAATTATAAATAATAAAGGAACAAAATAGATCCAGAAGTAGCAAAATTATATTGTTATATACTGTTGGTTGTAACTTCAGTACTGGAAGGCTGACTTGCCAGAGGCTGTAATTTGCATGGGAGGACACTACTGAGGAGCAGCTGATAGATTCGATTGGCAGCAGAACTCATGACCCACTAGGCCATCAGAGCTTCTTAAAGTTATACCATTATTTTTGCAGTTGTGTGTTGGAACCGGCATATAGCTGACCCTCCAGCAGTCTTTCCATAATTGGAGGAAACAGCCTATCCACTGGCGGAGCATCTGGTGGATTTGAACCACATGCCTTTGGGATTGCAGCTTGATTCTTACCAGTTAGCTACCTTACTTCTGTTAGAATAATACACCTTTTAGATTAGTAACGCTGATGGCATAGTGGTTAAAATGGCTGCTAACCAAAAGGTCATTGGTTTGAACCCACCAGTCACTCTGCAGTAGAAAGATGTCTGCTTCATAAAGATAAAAGCCTTGGAAACTCTATGGGATAGTTCTCCTCTGTTCTTTCAAGTGACTATGAGTCAGAATTGATTCAACAGTAGTGGGTTTTATTGGTTTGGGGTTTTTTTTCAATTGTAGGTTAGAGTAATACCCTTTTTTAAAGATTGTAAGAAGAGAGGAGAAAAAAAAAGAATGGCAAAAATGTGGTAGTTTCTCTTTGTAGCACAGCCTAAGGCTGATAATCATATCAGACAGTAGATGATTTGTACTTAGTAAAGTGAAAAGACCAGAGACCAGGGCGCCTTCTATCCATGGCTCCATCATCACCAAGTCTAGTAATCCCTTGCATCTGGCTGGCACACAGGGAATCTGGAGAAAACACCTATTTCTTGAACCTCATTCCATTGGCCACACCATTGTGGTCAAGGCTAGAAAATGTAGTTTCTGTCTAGCCAGCTGATTCTAGGCAAGAAGGTATGAATTTTAGTGGACTGCTAACTAGCTTAGCAATGAAAAGACATTTAAATACAAGATTTGTGTAAAATAAATTGTTTTTATTCTTATTTCTTTTGTATCTTAAGTATAAGATAAATGGGGGAGTAAAACACATTGAGGTCTTTCACATCTGAGTTTTAAATTACCGAGGAAGGAGAGAGAAAAGCTATGAATGAAGAAAATACATATGAATATTTTGCCTCAGAAAAAATGACTTGTAAGATATATTGCATTGTCTTTTAATCATAGGAGACAATTTTATCAGAATATTTAGAGATTTTTAACCTGAGTGAAGAATCTTCAGCTCAGTAGACAAGTATATATGTTTCTATTGCCTGATATTAATCGGCAAAAACGTTTAGTTTCCTCTGTGCTTTCCCTTCTCACTATGGGAATTGAAATAAATTTTTACTTTGATTTATAAACATTAACTTTACATTTTCTGCAAGTTTTATGCTTTTCAAATTGTCCTGCATGTATTGTAAAGGATGTGTCATAGAATTTAAGTAGTAAATTAACTGAATTTCCTATTTTTAATATATTTAGGACAGACAAATAATACCTCAGTAAGTTTTTATTTCTTTTTTAATAAAAGTTTTTTGTTTCCTTTTTAATCAGGTATTTTGGGGCTTAGATAAGAAGTTGGCTCAGCGCAAGCACTTCCCCTCTGTCAATTGGCTGATCAGCTACAGCAAGTACATGCGTGCTTTGGATGAGTACTACGACAAACACTTTACAGAGTTTGTTCCTCTGAGGACCAAGGCTAAGGAGATTCTACAGGAAGAAGAAGACTTGGCAGAAATTGTGCAGCTTGTGGGAAAGGTGAGTTGCCAAATCCTATGTTGAATACTTTAGTGTGTTACACTAAAGTGTTATAAGAAAAGACAGGGCCAGCCCTGAACATACAGATTTTCGTCTGTAAAAGTGAGTATTCATTAGGTATGTTTTAAATAAATTGAGACTTAGATTATTTTTTAAATCAACTATTTGTGGGGCCTGTTTCTACTGTAAGACACTCTGGTGGCATAGTACATAGCATGTGGCATCTTCTGTGGAAGAAAGATGGCAGACTCCTCATACTAAGATTTAAAGCCTTGGAAACCTTTTGCACATTTGGTATGAATTGGAATGGACTCAATGGCAGTGAGTTTAGCTTTTATTTATATTGTAGAAGATGATTATTGTTTTGGTTGTCTCTTTCTGAGTAACAAACCACACAAACACGTGGTGGCTTGAAACAGTGCTCCAGATGTGGAGTTAAAAGCCTTGTGGGTTGGTTCTTGCTTGTGGGAGGCCTCACGTGCTTGCAGTCATATGTGGGCTGAGGCATAAGTCATCTGAGAATGTCTTCACTCATGACTGCGGCTTGGTCTGGGATGGCTGGAAAAGTTAGAGGAAGGCTAGCATGAGTGTCTCCATTTTGTGTCATCGTGTGTCAATTCAGGGTTTCCAGAGTGAGTCATAAAAAAGGAACTGGAAACTACCCACCTGTTAAGCCTGGCCTCAAAAACCAGCATAGCATTTTTACTTACTTTTTTGATCAAAATGGCCATAGAACCTGCCCATATTGATGGGGAGAGCCCTGAATGTGAGAATTGTTGTTTTAAATAAGTGAATTATTGGGATACTTCTCTTCGTCTTTTATGTTTACCACTCTTAGAATATTTGAGCACTGGTGGCACCATGATTAAGCATTCACCTGCTAACTGAAAGGCTGCATTCCAAACCCAGCAGCCCACTCCACAAGAGGAGACCGAGGCAGTCAGCTTTGGCAGAGTCTTATCTCCTTGGAAACTGTGGAGCATACTTTGTCTTAGGACCCAAACAAATGCCAGTTTGATTCTGACTCACGGCTGCCAACACAGGGTTTGCGAGGCTGCAGATCTTTATGGGGGAGACTGCCTCATCTTTCTCGTGTGCATTCAGATTTCCACTGTGCGCTCAAATCAACCTGATGGTGCACAGCGGCACAGCACCATTTAAGCAACTCTAGTGCAAAACCAGACAGTCTGTTCTCATAATGGTTGTCTAGCCTGGGAGACACCATGGGGAAATTCTGCTCTGGCCTATAGGGTCACTATTGATTGACATTTGAGGCAACAGCATACAATAGCACGGGACCTTTTATGTGCCATGTTGGCTCAGTGGTAGGATTTTACCTCTCGTGTGGACCCAGCAGAGATTTGACCCAATGCACTTAAGTGGAGCCAGTGCTATTTAATCAGTGGGGTGTGCATGTGACACTGCGAGTTTCAGCAGATCTTCCATGTGTGTTATGACTGACCAGGGAGAAATGCCTGGCAAGGTATTTCCAAAGATCTGCCAGTGTCACTACTGTGGATTCCTGCAGTCCAGTCCTGAGGTACATGGGTCTACATGAGGCAAAGGCTGACAGCGGCAGCTTATGAAAAAAAACTGATTATTTTTTTTACTTATTCATGAACTAAGTAAACTTCTGAGAAACAAATCATTACTGAGAGTTCAAGGAGTTATGATAGCAAGGCAGGATGTGAATAAAACAGTGTTTCCAAAAGAGGATCAATCAGAAATTTATATTGAGTTTGTTAGGTGCCATTGACCCAGATACAATCCATAAGTGAATAGTGACCCGGGTACAACAGATTGAAGCATGTTCAGTCCTCACAGTTGTTTCTGAGTTTGAGCCCATTGTTGTGGCCAAGGTGTCAGCCCATCTCAGAGCATCTGCCTTTCCCCCGACTTTCTGTGGTTGTAAGTAATGTGTTGGGCTGCTCAAAACACCAGTAGTTCAAACACATCAGCGGCTTTGCAGGAGAAAGATGGACAGCCTCCCTCTGTTGAGGTTTAAAGCCCCGAGTCCCAGTAAAAGGTTGCCTTAAGTTGGAATTGATCCTATAGCAGTGGGTTTGGTTTGATTTTGGTTCCTTTACTAAACATGATAGTCCTTTCCAGGGGTTAAATCCTCTTGATAACATGTACCAAGTACAGGTGTCACTATTCTTTCTTCTGAGGAACATTCTGAATTTTTTAATGATAAATTATTGCATATTGATTATAGTCTCAGCATGTGGGGAGTGGTACTCCTAACCAGAAGGTGGTGTCTCTGGCAGTTTAAATCTATGGAAGAAAGATGAGCAGTATCTTCCCATGCAGACTCCAAAACCCAGTGCAGGTTCAGCTATGAGTCAGTGTCAACTCCACAACAGTGAGTTTGAGCGATTACTATAATCACTGCTACATTTTAGAAGCCAATTTCTGAAAATCTGTCTCTTTCTGGTCTAGGCTTCTTTAGCAGAAACAGATAAAATCACTCTGGAGGTGGCAAAACTTATCAAAGATGACTTCCTACAACAAAATGGATACACTCCTTATGACAGGTAACCCATATTGATTTTTCACTTGTTTGAGAATTTTATATAGTTTGTTGGCAAAAGTAGTTAGAATTTTTTTTGCTCATGTAGATACATGCGATGTACTACTTTAGTTTAAATTTAATGGTGGATAATTTATAAGACTCTTACAGTGTCTCCCTCGTCTTCATTTTGAGAGGACCCTGTGATTCAGTGCTTAAGCAATCTGCTATTAACCAGAAGGTCTGTATTACAACCCAGTAGGGACTTCTGATGGCCTGGTGTAAGGAGCTGCACTGCATCCCAAAGGTACACGGTTTGAAACGGCCAGTTGCTCTGTGGGAGAAAGATTGGTAGTCAGCTCCTCTGTGATTTGCCGCCTCTGAAAACTCCTTGAAGGGTCGGTCAGCTATGAATCAGTTCCGCTTTGATGGTACTTAGTGGGAGAAAGATGAGGCAGTCTGCTCCCATAAAGATTGACAGTTTAGGAAGCACTTTGGGGCAGTTCTAATCTGTTCTGTAAAGTTACTGTGAGTTAGAATCAACACATCAGCATCAGTGTTTATGTGTCTTGATTTGTCTAGTTTTGATGTAGTATTTTCATTGATTTTACAGCCATGTATCATCAGATTAAATTGTAATTTAGATTGTATCTTTAGGTTAAGATTATTACTTCCTTCCAAAACTTTGTCTCTCTTTCTATTCCCTCTGTATTTTTTTTCCTAAATATTTTTTCTACTTTCCTGCCTCATGACTTGAGCACATTTTCCTTTTTTTTTTTTACCAAATCACCTATTAGATGCTTCAGTCATCCCTGCTACTCCTACCAAGGGCTTGCTTTTCATTATTGTCATAGCTATTACTTCTCATTTGTTTCTTATTTTGAGAATTTATGCCCTTTCATCATGGGCTGACTTCACTCCTTCAAATCATATTTGACTTTATTTAAGACAGAAGAGGAAGCTGAAAAATAGGATTGATAAAATGTAGAGCAACCAGGAAATATTACAATATATTACTGGTAAGGCTCAAAAATCTGCATCAGAGGGGAGCTCTGGTGGCCTAGTGGCAAGAAGCTGCACAGCAATCCCAGAGGAACACGGTTCAAATCCACCAGATGCTCTGCGGGAGAAGGAGGCGCAATATCCTCCTGTACCAGTCAGATCTGATTTGACGGTACACGCACACAAAATAAAAAAACAAAACAAAAAACAAACAAACAAAACAAAAAAAAATCTGCATCAGAAGCCTAAATTCTAGGAACCACCCATGCAAAGATGTCCCAACAAGGAAAAAATTGTTTTGGAAAGGTATTAATATTTAAAACTGTGTTCAGATAGATGTGTTTACATGTGTCAAATATGTTGAATATGAATTCATGTGACTGGAGTTGGATATATGCTTGTGTATCTTTGTTATTAAACACTGTGGGTAATTGGAGAAAAGAGATGCTATTAATTAGAGGGTTTTTTTTTTAAAGACATTTATTCAGTGTCATGATCAGACTATTACATTTAGCAATCAACAGCATGGGTGCAAAAAAAAAAGAAAAAAAACCCCATCTACATTTAAACCCTTGTTTTCGGAATGCTTTACACTTTCCACAGAACAGAAACTAAAATAACCTGTTATACAGTTAGTCACAAATACAGTCCTCGAGTTTTTTGCCCATACACATGAGTATTGTCTAAAACATGTCTTCTTTGTAGCAGCTAGGCCCTGCCACCACTGTGCTTGGCTGAGTTCACAAATCTGTTGTAACCTGTAGCTTTCCTGTCACTTCTCTGGCTCTCCTCCCCTGCTAAGCTTTGTTTCCTGGCAGTTACTAAAACCGTCTGCCACTGCCATAGCTGCTGCTGCTATTAGAGGGGTTTTTAAGTAACTATCATAATCCACTAGCACAAAAGAGTCTTTATAACAAAGTTATTTTATTATTTGGAGTTTTCATCGCTCCTGCTTCTTTGTACCAAAACAAAGACCTTCAGAGAGTTCTCAGATTGTAGTAATATTATTTTAGTGTTCATTAGATTATAGCAATATCACTTTGTGTTTGATGTTTTCAACAAAGAAAATTAACATTAACTTTTAAAATCAGTTTACAAGTATATCTTTTCGTACATACATTCCATATACTGAGACTTTTCTGTCTAAAAAAAAATAATCAATTTAAGGTGTTTTTATTGTTCTTATATACCAACAAGTTGGAATTGACTCACAGCTGACTCTCCAGATGGTTTTTAGAGGCTGTAAATTGCTTAGAAGAAATTACCCTTCTTCCTGTCTCAGAGCAACTGGTACATTCAAACTGCCTGCCTTTGGTTTGGCAGCACAACTTCTCACCCACTAAACCACCAGAGCTCCCTCCAGTTAAAGAAGTTATTAATACTTTACACTGGTTTTTCTTTAATCCCACCTGTACTATCCAAAAAATATATTAGTCTGCTTGTTGAATAAATAAATTTTTTGTTCATAAACTTTTATGCAAAGTGTAAATCTGCTTCAGATTTCGTTTTTGCCTGTTATTTTTTTTTATTAATTTCAGTGAACATTTACAGAGATTTTGGATTTCCATTCATTCATTGTTGCACTTTTCATTGTTGCACTTTTCTCCCCGTTCCCCTCCCCACATTTTTGCCTATTATTTTTACCATTGCTTTCCCTAGGTTTTGCCCATTCTACAAGACGGTAGGAATGCTGTCCAACATGATCGCGTTTTATGATATGGCCCGGAGAGCTGTTGAAACCACTGCCCAGAGTGATAATAAAATCACGTGGTCCATTATCCGTGAGCACATGGGAGAGATCCTCTATAAACTTTCTTCCATGAAATTCAAGGTATGTTTTGTTTCTGGGAAAACATTTCTTAGTCGGAAAGTCTCTGTTTATTTTTTGGTAACTGTGTGAGTCTCAAGCATGATGTTTGAAACTTGTATTTATCATTGGCAGTACTCCTCAGGTTCTGTAAAACCGAAGCAGGCCTTAAAATCATGGCGTGCAGGGATTTTAATGACAAAAATTATAGTATGTCATGTCTAAAATAAATGCTGATGTGTTTTTTCCCATTTGTCATAGTTACCAAGAAATTAGAATGAAGTTCCTTGCTGAGCAGTAATTACCTTACCTCAAGTACCTACCTGTTAGCCGCTGTCTTCCATGCTGGTCTGGAATGATGACAGTGCTGTTTTCTTTTAATTATCCTATTACACACCATATTTAACTTTTAAGTGGCCTCAGTGAAAACTCAAATGTAGAAGATTATTTTAAAAATATTTGATCAAGGGGAGCTCTGGTGGCCTAATGGTAAGGAGCTGCAACTACAATCCCAGAGGTGCGTGGTTCAAATCCACCAGATGCTCTGCCGGGGAAGGAGGGACAGTCTCCTCCTGTACCAGTCAGATCTGATTTGACGGTACACTCACACACAAAAAAATAATAAAATAAAAATAAATTAAATAAAATTTTGCTCTTCTTACTGGGCTGAGATGATATTTCCTAGTTGTTTTGAGTATGACATTTAAAAAATGAGATAGTATTTGTTTATATTATAGATTGACAGTAAACCTGTACCAGTAGAAACGATATTAAAATTTTTTAAAATATTCATATCCTTTGGGCCTAGTTTTTTTATTTCAAAACTGGTTATTTCACCACAAGAGTTATAACCTTAGGGGCAGGGGAAGACTTATAACCTAGGGAAATGGTTGGAAAATTTGAGGTGTGGCTATCTAGAAAAGATTGTTTATGAAATGTGCATATAACTATGATCAGGATCAACAATATGACATATTCCCATATGTAGAATATTATGAAGACTTCAACATTTTTTTTCTTTTAAAGAGTACCTAAGTGGGTGCGTATGTGTGTGTGTGTGTAATAGTATCTAAGGATATAGGGAAATGAAATGAGGGAAAAAGAAGAGGCTTAAAAACAATTACAGGGGTTTCTGGTGGCTTTGTTATTGTGTTATTGTTAGGTGCTGTCGAGTTGAGTACAGCCCATAGTGACCCTGTGAACAACAAATCTGAACCCTGTCCTGTCCTGTGCCATCTTCACACTTCCAGACACACTAGAGCCCATTGCGGCATGTCAGTCCACCTGGTCAAGGGTTTCCCTCTCCTTCGATGACCCTCCACCTATCCCAGCATCATGTCCCTCTCCAAGGAGTAGCCCCTCCTAGCAACATGCCTGAAGTAGGTGGGGCAAAGTCACACCATCCTTGCCTCCAAAAAGCACTTCACCTGCACTAACAATGCAAAGGTACTGGTTCCACTGTGCCAACAGCTCTGTGGGAGAAAGATAAGCAGTCTCCTCCAATGTGATTTACTGTCTGAAAACCTCCTTTAAGATAGCTTTGGCTTGGTTCTGACTCGATGCACAACAACAATAATATTAAGGATATGGGAAATAGAGATGACTGAAAAAGAAGATTATTCAAAAAACGAATTACACATGAAATTCTATTATGATTTTGTTTCATGTATGTGTTTACTGTTTTATGTATTTTATATATATTCATAGGAAAAGGATAAAATATAGCAATATTACTATAATAATGATGATTTCTTATAATCTAACTATAGGTAGTATTTTCTATTGACACATTTTTTTTATAAAGTTAACACATCATATTTTTTTAATGCATTAAATATTCTACTGTACAATGATTTTGTAGCCAAAGAGCATTATTTTCCTATTCTTCAATGTTTAGGAAATTATCAGTTGTTGGTTTGGACCATTTAGTGTATGTAGTTGGTTTTGTGTATTTTCCTAGTATATATTCCCAGATAGGGAATGATTGGATAAAAGAACTTGACCAGTTTAAGGTCTCTTTTATATGTATTATTTAATTGCTTTCATAAGGATTAAGTAACTTGTACATTTTAAAGATTATTTTGTACGATTTACTTCTCTGTTCACAGTAATGGCACTGGATGTTGAATCCACTGCCATTTGGGCAATGCGAACTCCTTATGGAACTGCTCCATTGATATTCCAGGGCTGTAAATCCTTATGGGAGTAGACTGCCTTACCTTTCTCCCCAGGGGGAACTGGTGGTTTCACACTACCAACCTTTCAGTCAACAGCTGAATGTTGTAGCCATAGCACCACTAGAGCAGCTAGAGATGGAATAATTCCAAGTATTGTACACAAGCAGTGGTATGCTTTCCATTTGAGATGCTGTGTGTTCCCCATTATGTGCATGTTGAAGATAATTCCATTGGCCTTTCAGTACAGTTAGCAGGCAAAATAAAAGATAATAATTTTGTTTTCTTTCTCTGCTTGGAGCATTACTTAATTTATATTTTTCTAGCCTTAAAGGAAAAAACAGTTTTTACTCCTGTCTGTGGCTTACCTGTACCTCACTGAACCTGGCACTCAGACTATATTACATTTGTTAACTCCTACATGTTCTGAAAATTGCATTCCTGAGGTAAATGGACTCTCTAATGTCTTCTTTTTTTTTTTAGGATCCAGTGAAAGATGGTGAGGCAAAGATCAAGGCAGACTATGCACAGCTTCTTGAAGATATGCAGAATGCATTCCGTAGCCTGGAAGACTAGAACTGTGATTTTTTTTTCCCTCTCTTTCCTCAAAAAATGTGTGTATTTTCCTAAATTCTCATCTCAAACCCTTTGCTTCTTTATTGTGCCGCTTTGAGACTAGTGCCTATGTGTAGTATCATTTGTTTCCCTGTTTATTTGGTAGGTCTTACAGAAAACAAACATTCCTTTGTTTCAGTGTTTGAAAGGCCTCTCTGATTTTCTTTATCTGAAGTGGTGAATGTAGTAAATATATATCTAATGGCTACACTACTGTAAACTTGTCATGTAAGGTGATGCACATAACCTTTTCCTAGGTTTGCCCTCTCCTCATTGCCATTGAGTTGTAAAAAAGACTCCTGCATGCACTCTGTTTGCAGTGGATTTAAAGGGAAAGACCAGGTACTCTATGAAATGACCCATTGTCTAGATGGTGAGGTGATTTGCAGCTTAGCATTTGCTAAGTAACTACTTTGCAGGATATTTTCCGTTTTAAAACACGGGTGATTAATGTTCCAATTATGCATTGCTTTCCCAGTATAAATCAGGAATATTTGTGGGGAAGTGTTAGAAACTTAATAGTTTTTAAAAACCGGCAACTGTGGAATTTGGGATAATATATAAGAATCAGCACCTTCCCAAAAAGTGAAAAAAAGGAGTCAAGCAGTCAAACTTGATGGAACATCTTCCTGTCTGAGCATAATTTCTTTTCTTAGGGAAAATTCCATTTCACAGACTGTGTGATGCTATAGTACATTCTTTTTTAAATTGCATTAAAAACAATCACTGAAAACTTGATCCACAGCAACACTCTCATCTTCAAATATCTAAGAAGCCTGAGCTTTTGAGAATTATGTGACAGTGTGATTATCATTAAAATGTCACAAATGAAATTTTTAGTAGTGGTTAAACGTTGCTTGCACCTTTTATGGCCTTTTGGGCTGTGATTCTTGGGGGCCTCTGTGGCATTATGGTTTCACTTAATAATGAGATGTGTCACTTGTTTGCTTGTTGAATTTTTAACCAGCCAGTTTACTAATTGTCAAAATTCTTTCTTTTTTGTAGTTTTTGCTTCACTGACTCCAAAGATATCACAAAATATCTATAGCCACAGCAGCGGAACAATATCCATTCTGTTTAATTTTGAGAAAATCAATTTTTTGTATCCCTAAGTATATCTGTTTCATGTGAAAAAGAATTTTTTTTTTCTTATTAAAACTAGTGAGTGATATTTGTGTCTGTACAGTAAGGCACACCACATAAGCTCTGAGAGCACTGATTTCCCATTAGCTTTTTCTCACCAATAGTAGACATGTCTAACAATCTTAAATACCCAAAGTAACAACATAGATGACATAAATCTTTTTGCCACAGTTTATTGTTATTAAAATGTTAAAGGTACAAATGTTTTTTTGTTAGTCCAGTAGGGAAGGATGTAATCAGTAGATAAAAATTCAACTATAAAAAACTCTTTGCATCCTTGAGGATTACATATTCTTAGAGCGACCTATTAAAGAAAATTATTCTTCCATGAAACTTTTTGCCAGCTTTTCAGAATATGGATAGGTAAAAATTATACCATGATAAGTTGAGGTATAGACTTAATGATGCTGCTTAATTTACTTCAAATGTGGTCTGTCAGTGGCTCTGTGAACAGTGGGAATGAAGAGGATTCTAAAAACTTTATATTCTTATCTATACCTACTGACATAGTAGGATTGTGATAGGAATGAATGAAATGATGAAGAAAGTTTGACCAAGTATGGTTTTTGTTCTTTTTAATTATCCATGTACTTTCTTACTCTTTCAGATTGTTGATGTATGAGTGTGAAGATGCTAGAAAAACTGTACTCAGAGATTCATTGTTAGTGTCCCTTCACATATGTTTTACAGCGTTTCCAATTTGGGCACTGATCTTATTTCTTTAATAAGAATGTGTTAAAATTACAACGCTCTTTTAAAAAGATGATGCAATTCTATATTTATTACTGTGCTGTGCCTGGTCCGGAGTGGAGCCAGTTAAACAAGTTTCATATGTATTTTTCCAGTGTTAAAATTCACACATTGTACCCTTTGACAATGTCCTTCCATCCTGAAGAATTCGTAGATGAGGTCGTATATATTGCTTCCTTATCCTTGAGATTTCACTATCTTTATGTTAAAAGTTGTGTATAATTATTAAAAATCTATGAATGAATAAAAAGTGGATTTAAAAGATCGTTTCTTTGTGTCTCTGTGTGTGGGAAGGTCCAATAGAAAACAGACTTTTGTACTTAGATTTCTTTATTCTGAGTATGAACTTTAATATTTTCATTTATAAATTGTTACTTAAAATAGAATTGAATCAGCTATGTTTATTGCTGCATTCACAATAGGAAAGAGATGGAAACAACCCAAGTGCCTGTCAGCAAGTGAATTGATAGAGAAGCTGTGGAATACTATGCAGCACTTAAAAACAAGGAACTCATGAAATATACAAAATGAGTGACCCTGAAGGACTTTATGCTGAGTGAAATATCTCAGTCACAAAAGGACAAATATTGCATAATGCCAGTGTTATAAAACACGACTGATATTGGGGTTGGGGAATAACTAAGAAAAGGGATAAATAATGTACACTGCATTGAAATAAATGAGGAATAGAACTGCCTAAAAGGAATATATGATTAGGTTTTATTTTCATGACAACAGTTCAGAATAAGAGCTGCATAGTAAAGTGGACGAGGAGGGAGGAGATTTTACAACAATGAAAGAATTTTTTTCAAAGAGATAAGTGAACGTGGCAGGGAGAAAAATGTGCAACAATGAATGAATGAATGGAAACCCAAGTTCTCTATAAACTTTCATTAAGATCTCAATTTAATTCTTTTTTTTAAAATTTAAATTTGTTATTAATTTCAGTGAAAATTTACAGAGGCTTTGGATTTCCATTCATTCATTGTTGTAGATTTGTCCCCTCCCAAG